ATAATATCTATGGGAATAATTCAGTAGTCATGGTAGATACCGCTGACAATGTGTATGAGTATAAATAATATCTATGGGAATAATTCAGTAGTCATGGTAGATACCGCTGACAATGTGTAGGAGTATAATATCTATGGGAATAATTCAGTAGTCATGGTAGATACCGCTGACAATGTGTATGAGTATAAATAATATCTATGGGAATAATTCAGTAGTCATGGTAGATACCGCTGACAATGTGTAGGAGTATAAATAATATCTATGGGAATAATTCAGTAGTCATGGTAGATACCGCCATTTTATAGTTTGGTTCCTACATGGAGCCATATGCCAAGGTTAACCCTTCCTTTTTTTTTTTTTTTAAGAATATTAGTGCTAATTTGTAACTCGTTTATGAGTTACAAGCATCTGAAGGAAAAAAAAAATGGGGTCTTAGGGTGGTTGTTTTGTTGTAATTATAACTATAGGAAAACGATCAAAACCTGTTGAGAACTAACTGGGCATTTTTCTGAACCAAAAACCTCAATATGGTTTGATATATCTCCTCCAAAAGGCGAAATTCGTTTCATTTCGGATCACCGCGTATTACAGTCATAATCCAAAGATTGATTATGTTGAAGAGGAGCCTGATACTCTTGGTCTGTATATATCATATCAGTCATATCATATCATAGTATCAAAATAACCTTCAATTGTCCACTCATTTGGGCAAAGGAAGAAGGCACAAAATTACTGAAGGCGAATTCTAGTGGTTTTGCGGATATTACTTCTTCGAATGTCAACCGTAAGAGTTCACATCATGCAAAGGGTTTGCCAAAAGCCATTTACAATCAAATCCATGATCGCCTTAAAAGAAAACGAGGCAAAAACTTAGTCATGGAGAGCCAGAGGGAGGTGAAGTTAGGGTTATTCATGAAAAGTCTCCCTTTCAGTTTGAGGCAGAGAAACGTATTGATGAAACCTGGTTGATTCTGGCTCTTTTTTTGTAAACATTATGTAAAATGTGTTTAGAGACCAGAACTTTGGTGTGAAATGGATTTAGATGTGTTTTTTTAACTAATGAGGTAATGACAGTAAAAATCTGATCAAATATCTGGTCTACATACATAATCATGCATTGTACCTTTTGTTCATATCTGTGTTATGTCAATAAGTAAACGCTTGTCATAAGTTTGAAGTTGTAACGTAACATAATTCCTTCCTCGTGAAATATTAACTGTACAGTGGAACTGAATTTGAGATTGAAAGTATCAACAGTAAACTATTTCAAATTGCATTGTACGTGCTTTCATTTGTTTGTTGTTCTTGTGTGATAACGAGTATTTTTTTTTTCAGATTTATTACCTAGCACTTTCCTAACCACATTTGCTGGATGTGTTACTAAATCATTCTTTTTTGAGAAACAGTTGATGTCTGCTGTAGCAGCCCAGCTACATCTAAGAAAAAACTCAAAACATTTTTAGGAAAGCGTTCAAATACTTAATGTAAGGTAAAACGCTTTTGACTATGTGCATATTTTTATCGCTATGTAAATTTTTTTTTTATCATAATGCGCAACTGAAAACTGCTTCAGCCGGTACCCATAAACTTTTAGCACTTTTTGCGTAGCTCGATCCCGGCGTTCAGCGGATGAGGTAGAAAGCCTCGTGGAAAGACAATAATGTAGGTAGGGGAATTGCAAAGTCAAATGTAACTGAAAACAAACTTAAAGCTTTTTGCATTTCAAAGGACACGTGGAGGAAAATTGATTTTAATAAGCAAAGAATAATTTCCATTTTGATTCTTTTTGTTTTCAGGTGACAGGTTATTACAGTTACAACCTAACTATTTACCACGCTGAAGAGGAGGTTGAGCCTTTTTTGTCCAGCTGCTAGATTTGGTCAGCGCAAACTGCAATGGAGATGGATTTGGATGGCTATAGACTTAGTTTCTTCAAAAAGAAAAACCTTGCAGGTCAGCAGCGACCACAATGTTTGAAATATGCGGGGAGGAAGTTAACTAGCGGTAAGTCATGTCAGCTGGAGGGGGCTGCGTTTATCTTTCTGTACATTGCAAAACTCAGGGTACCAAGAGCTTTCCCAGTTAATTTTCATAGGTTTATAAAGCAATGACATTATAGTTATGGAAACAATGAAATATTTCATTGTTGCTTTGTCAATCTTGTTTTCTTTGCTGATACGATTTGGCAATTTTTGTTTTAATGTCAGTCGATGTATGTAGACAGGATTGATTAAAAGTAAGTTAGAATTGGTTTTGGTTGTTATCTGATCAGTTGAAAATTTAAACTCACAAATTTAAATTTAGACTCACAAAGCTGATTAAAAGGCATTGACACGCAAGCAACCTTTACGCGGCAGAAGGCCTTATCCCGTTTAGCTCTTTTTCGATAAACGTCAAACTCGTGTCAGTGATCGCTTTTAGGAAAAGGGAGTTACGATGACGAACGCCAGCATTGTTGGAAAATTTCGAATTGGCAATGGTGCCCTCTTAGTTGAAGAACGTTTTGCGTATGTGGGGCGTTATGTTATGTTATGTTGTTATGTAAATGTTATGTTATGTAATATGTCATGTGACATGATGAGAGAACCTGACCTCGTGCAAAGAGATGTTTTCGAAAAATAAAGCGTAATTTGCCATTTTGAAGAGGACAACACGTACTCACCTCGATTTCTAGTTTCGTTTTGTTTCTTTCTTTTGTTTCTCTAATTTTCTTCGTATCGGTTCATGCCTCAATATATCAACGTACTACAATACTCTATATCAAATAACGGAGGAAAATCGTTTTTGCATACTTTTCACAGCAGGGGATTTATGATATTGTTGAGGGGCCGCCAAACCTTGTTGGTAAAGAATGCCAGTGAAACACGTTTGAAGGCTGAAACTCGTGAAACGTTGAATGGATGCTTCCTCTTTCAGAGACCTGCGATGAGGCGGATAGAATATTCAAATTCTCTGGCGAGTATGGCCAGAATACTCACTGGTCAATATAAAAAACGACCTAGCGTGTCTGCAATTTCCGCAGTGATGTTTAAGACAACAGAAAGTATTTAAAAGTACTTGAAAGTACTCTTAGGTAGCGACATTAATATTGTTGGGTTTCCCTTAACAACAGACAAAAGTGCGGACGGATCGGCTTATAAGCAAAGAGGAAAGCCGGACAGAGGAAGAAACTCTCAGAAGTCTCGAGATCAGTGCTTTATTTTGTTTTTATCTTCTTAATTAATTGTATTTGTACGTGTACACCCTTAATTGCATTTATTATCGCTGTTGGGGGGAAAGGTGTTTAGTTCTATTTCTGTTTGACGACTTTTCATTGCACAGGAAGACAATAACGCAAGTGGTTTCTTATTCCACATGTTATAACTCTTTCTTTTGATTTATAGACGGCATTATTAGGGGTTTCATTAATGTTTCCAGCAGGAGGGCAACTTGTTTTCACAGGCAGGCAAAACTTTTTGAACTAAGCTTCTTTATAAGATAAACTTTCATCCAGATGGTCAAACCAAGTGGGCAAAACCATCCTCACAACGGTCAATTTGCCTGGTGCCCAGGCCCTTAATGAAACCCCTGCCTTATGTTCAGGCTGGAGTATTTTTGCTAAGGTATTATTTCAACACGCTCTTATTGGCGCTAGTAACTTATATCACTCTTTCAACCAATCATGTGCCGAAAAACCTTAAGAGATTGATATTCACCGTTTTTTGGACAAATGATAGGCCACGCATGATTTCTTTGTTGTTCATTGTTGTATTGTTTTCGATATCTTTGGTTAAACGAAACATATTCGCGAAGCCCTCTTGTTTGAGGCTGTCAACTTGAAGTTATTTTCTTAAATAAATCATAAGCGAAGTTAAAGGTTAAGATGAAGCTTGTGTCTTTGAAACTGATGGGAAATCAATGATTCAGTGAAACACGAATCGTCCCCATGATGGGAAATTTAAATAACACTTTGCTTTTCGAAGCGTTGTTATAAGCAATATGGAAATTACGAAACAAGAGAGCTTATATTCTTACTGTCAAGTTGAAAGGACTTGAAGCTTGGAACAAACTGGGTTTTCTAATAGGAAGAAAGAATTCCTGCTTCTAGCGCCATGCGCTGTTACATCGGCCAGTGTTGAAACAAAGTTTTTTTCTTTGCTATAAAATCAATGGCGATCAAACTTTTAAAAATGTGATTAGCGCAATTGGCTTCATTATGTTTGTTTATTGCGTCTATTTTGCAGATTTAATGTTAAGGGAATTGGCTATTTGTATTTCACACCACATATGATAACAAACCACTCCATTTTGGTCTCTTTACCATTTATTATCGCCATATCTACCCATTAAGCTATTCTATAGTTAACAAGATAGCAAATCAATTGATAAGACTCATTAAGTTAGCTTGGAAACTCAAATGGACAAGCTGACGAGGTTTGGTCAACACGGCCAAAAGATGCATTCTGACTTTTCTTTTTCAACCGCTCAGTGTGCTACAAAGAAGTGGTGACGGTTAAATACTTAGTCACTTTCATGGCAAACTTCGGAACTCGAGACTGGGAATTTATTTACATTCTCCCATAATTTCTGTCGTCATTATAAAACCAATTCTTTAAATACGTTATCATAATGTGATCCGATACAGGGTGTTGTATGATTAGAAATCATAAGAAATCAATGGCTATTTTTTATTAAAAAAATTTACTACCGTGAAAATTTTCCATGGGACGTAATCTTAGTTACAAAAAAAATTCAATAGTTAATATGCATTTTTTTTGTATTTTAGCAAGTTTTCACCCGCCGATTCACTCTCTTAATGAGGAAGTCTACGAATCTAGGCGGCCAACTTTTCATATCCTACAGAAGCAAAATTCATAGCACAGTGATTGGAGGGAACTTCCGTCTGAAATCAACTCAGTATCTCTATATTTTGCATTGACACTCACGTTTCTGCTTTGCTTACGAGTTTTTTGCGTCTTTGGCGAGGAACAACGACAAATTTAATGATCGCGAAGTTCATTTCTTACTGCAGCTAGCTGCATGGCTCATTGCTTTAAATACCTTCTTCAGAGTGTCAGTGGAGAAAATGATCTTTGACTACTTAAAACATTCTGGAGCAAGAATTTGCAAATATCTGATGTATACTCCGAAGTATTTATAAATCCACCCAGAGTTATGATATTGTCTTCTGTACTAGTATTATTGCTTCTCCTGAGAAACTCATTTTCGTTGGTGAGACTTTTCTCTAGCTGACTTTCCTATCTTTTGTAACTAAATTGATTTCATTTCCCTATCACTGTTTCTTAGCATGAGTTTAAAATTTCCATGAAAAGTGCAGTTAAAGAGAAGAAAAGGTAGACCTTTAAAGTTTAAACAGCGGTACTAATGCAATTTACATAGTTACTGCTTATGCGAATTCAAATTTTCGTTATGTCCTTCTTTGTGAGTTTTCCTTGCTTGTAAACGTAAATAAAGACACGTTTGCTTTGCTCGTACATCAGCTCTCACGAATTCCATGTACAAGACTCTGCATGCACTGATTCTGCAAGCAACCTAGTCTCCATGATAGTTGTGTCGTGTAGAAATACCAAAATTGCGTATGAACGCTGTAAACTTGCAAAATAATTTTGCTCTTTATGCCCTCCTTCTGAAATCCAACAAAGAGGCTGCTGCATTGTGCTCCCAAGCAAATGCAAAGTGTGGTATTTTCTGAAAGTATAGCAGCAGCCTCAGCTAACTACATCAACTGTTCAGTCTTCACCATTAGACAGAGAGAGGACTGTTCCAGGTTAGGAACTCAAACTCCTCGTGTTCTTCACTGCTAAACTCACAGCTTGCGTATCTTTTCAAATGGCCCAATGCCTTTCTTCTCTGTCTCATTTCTTTCCTCAAAGAGGTTTTCTGGCAAACTTTCTGCGTCACATGGGCCTTGACAGTTGATTTCTTTCGTCTTTCAAAGAAGCATAGCCCGCATGCCCACCAAAAGTCTTCTTCGGCAGTTTTGAAACCGTTTGCCCTTCTCCTTCCTCCACTCGTGCAAGCCGGCGAACGGTGGCTCATTAGTTTTAACAGATTGGGAAGATCAGGTTGTTCAACAATGTAACGAGCTCGAACATCGCGGTTGTAGTGTACTGATACCTGTCAAGGGAACAGAAATTTGAAATAAGAAGGTCTTTACGTTTACGCTTTTTCCTAGAAAGAGGGACCGGTAAGATTATCCGTGTGAACATGGTTACAATATGGCGGAGAAGTTAATTCCAATTTTTTCCGGTAGCCATGGGTCTCAACAGATAGCTTGCAAAATTAGGTGAGATGTTTTCACCCTTTGGGTCTTCGTCATATTTCAGAAGCTTGATGAGGAAACAGGCAAAATAAAGCCCTGCAATGAGGGTTCCGTTCGACAGTCACTTAACTGAATTCAAGGAGATTGAGTAATTGTCTAATGCTAGGGTTTGCATTATTCATAAAAGTAACTATATCTTACTTACTTTTCTCTTATCAAGCCTCGTATCTGGTCGAAGAACAACTTTTCCGAGAACAAGCGGATTTGTTGATATCGTCGTCGATGTTGAACGGGTAAATTCTTCTTTTAGATTAAGCTTTGAGAGTTCCTGACGAAGCTTTGAAGCTACTCTGTTGACAACGGCGTTTGTGGCGTGTGATTCTGCTAAAGAAACATTTAATAATATTGCTTTAAGACCAATACTCAACCCATCACACCTTTAAGATATATTCTGTGGTAAGAATACTCTTTCCTGCTGTAAAAGTCCTTTAACTAAAGATTGTTCATAACTTCGCTAGTGAAATCTGTGGCGTTTCTACGTTCTACCTCAAGATGTATAGGTTCTCGCGAAAAAGAATATTTTACCAGAACCTGATGATGAAAAAGTACGTACCTACTCCGTCGTTTTCAATTTCGGAAAAGGTAAAGTTCCTCGGCGAATGGTTGGATGTAAGTTTGTGGTCAGATACCTTGCAACAATGCGACGGTAATCTCTGAACTTCTTTTCCAGCGATGGCTGAAAGAGAACAAGCAACAATGATTTTCTCAAAATAATTTCTTACGACTCAAACGATTTTGTGTCGATAAAATACGCTAAAAACCTCCTACAACCGACGGAGAATGCACGAGACGTATCGTTTGGCTCGCGAAAGGCATGAAAAGAAATTACTGTGACAAGAGTGAATTGATTCATGTGGCTTTGCTTGCCAGTTGCCAGAATTTGCATCCAAAATGGACCGATAGTTGCTTTACAGAAAAGATGAGACCTTAATGCCGTGAGGATTATTTTACTGATGAAGCCTTTAATGGTTTGTGATTACTACACTGGCTTTTCTACAAATAAATTTTACGACTATACATTGAAATAAGTAGTTTCCGTTGAAAATTTCAATGCTGTTCGTATCGTAAAAGACGAGAATTTTAGAGTAGCTAAAGTAGCTAACGCTGGTGATCTTTAACTTCACAATTTCCCTCTTTGCTTTGATTTGGCTCACACAGGTAGAGATGGAGGACAATGGTAGATATAGGATTAGTCAAACGAGGGCGAAAAGAGGAAGACGGAAGCAAGAGACGCTTGCTGCTCTGCTCTCCCCCACGTTGGCGTCAATGGCCTTACAACTTCCTACTAGCCCAAGCACTAAGCAGCCCTGCTTGTTACACCTGTTTATTCAATTACCGCTAATGAGTCTGCTTTACCACAAAATCACCCATTATCGAATGATACTAAATTTGCTCAATGCAAGAGTACTTTCTACTCGGATGTAATGACCTACGTTGGCTTGTTATCAAGTTTTTTCACTCATGAAGATTGTGGGGCTTTTTATCCTACATCCGTTAGCCTGTGACACGATGATTGGTTCTTTTCTCACTAAGGCCGTATATCCTTCCGTTTGTCAGCCATCGAATACGAAGCATTATTGTTATTACCTTCTGCATCAAGTGATGAACACATAACGAATGCCCTCCTAGAAAGATGCAGGGACCACTTTGGAAAAGATTGTTAGCGTAACAAGTTTTCTCCGTCTAAGGTCTAGAGAAACTTAATATAAAATCCCTCCGTACGAAAGTGAGCTCCTACCGTTTTTTTGCGTGCAATGGGCATCCCAATAAGGCTATAAACAAAGACCCTTCAGTTAATCAAGGGACATGTTTCTCTTTTTTCAGGAAATATATGTCTGCAGACTTATATAGAGTGTTCTCGTTCTTCTTCCTGTCTACTCCAACACGCCATGTATGGTTAATACAGGAATACAGTTATGCTTTTTTCATGTGGACCGTTTAGACCAAATGTTTGACTTACTCAATTCATCCTGTTCATCAAGGGTCCTGGCCTTCTGAGTTGCTCTTGTAGTGATCCTAAAAGGTTTTGATTTAATGGTGGTAACCAATCCCTCATGAAAGTCCATCATTATGATAAGCTCCCACTTGTTTCTTTCCATAACATCAGCCTTCTCAAGTCGGTACACAGAGGATCCCTCTTCATTTCTGTGCACTGAGCCCAAATCTACTGAAAGGACAGTCTGTGTCTGATCGTGTTTCTGAAAATTAACTTGCAGCTCGACGGGACCTGTGGGGACATTGCCAACAGAATTAAGGCCGATAGTTAGCAACCAGCTATTGTTAAAGAAGCTGGATGGTTCAGATTTCTGAAGCTGAATTCTCGTTAAACAACACATGATAGTGATTTTTTCCTAGTTTAATTCATTTGGGAAATATAGTGTGGTCTCTATCTTAGGTGCTGGTCGTCCAGCTTAAGTCGTTTTTTTCATGTTTTATCGTATTCCTGCCATTAAGTGTTTATTAATCATGCCATTATTTAGGCGATTGTCTCTTGCAATGGAGATCGAGAGGTTATCCAATTTAGTCAGCAGAGAAACAAACCTGTTGTGTCGTGAATTCTTATCGCAGCGTCGGGACATCTTTGAACGTAAACTCGAACTCTCTTAATTTCATCGGAAGCACGGGCTACAATAGTTACTTCTGAGGATCCTAGTCCATATTCGTATTTTCCAGAGCATTTTTTCGTCTTCTTATCGTAGGTGTCCATTAGGTTCATAATTTGAACCTCTACCTCAGGTCTTGCATATTTTGGTTGATATCCTTTAGAGGACAGGTTCGTCTTGGCGCCACAAGCAGGTAGAAAACTGTGATCAGCTGTTAAAAAAAAGGAAGTTGACGTGAAGAAATTTTGCGAACCCAAAATTCAGAATAATTGCATCATGCGAGACACAGAAGGATTTTCAAAACGGGTTTTTGTTTTCTTTAATTTAAGTTTATTCATTTTAAAAATCAGTGATGCATCCACTCAGAGGTGGATTTTCCGCATCTGCTTTGTACGTGACAGTCTTAAATAATTTAGAGTGACTTCACTGTTGTTTTATGAAAGAATGTTTTGTATGGTCGGATATTGAATATTTGTAGACAGATTATATTAGGAGGCGGTACTCGACCTTGGCCCAAATTTTTGTTTTACAGTAGACATACGTCGATCAGGCCACTGAACCGTACGTAATTCGTTTTATCGCTGAGCTATTTTTGTAAGTCCCCTCAGGCATAATATTTTATCCGAATGCAACGAACGTAACTTGCAAGAAGAAGCACCAGTTTGATGATGAAATGACTTAGGAGTAGAAGAGCAATCCTTGAGGCCTCATTGTGAAGAAGTTGTAATGGGGAAACAAAGGTCACGTCTGTTGACGAAGTTGCATTTTGACATTGTTCGTTATCATAACTAGCTGAACTAATACGGAAAAAAGACTTGAAAACAACACCATAACCGGACGTAATTAAAATCGCGTGTGTTAGCTAAACTCATATGTATGGAGACAAACTTATTTAAAAGTGGCCAAGTAAACAAAACACAATACGATATACCGATATTGGCAAAGGCCTATAGATATTCTTAGAATGTTTATTAAGGTTAAATAAAATGACTTCCTCTATCTCATGCAGTATCATTTAGAACATTAACATATTCAGCAGCTCTATGCAAACACCTTGAATGTTATCACCTGCAGTTCTAAGGGAACAGGTTATTGAACTCATGCATTATCTGCAATAATGATGTTTTTTCCGCCGGGCGTGGGCAAAAACTTTTATGCTCAGAACGCTTTCCTCTCTCGTCGATCAACAAGCATAATGATGAATCCTCTTTATTCAGTCTTACTGTTACAAATGATGAAGTAAAACCACTACTTATAACTGCTTTGACATTAAGCTGTTGTAGAAAAGTAAGACCCAGAAATTTTTTACTTAAACATAGTGCTCCAAGGTTATTGAGTAGGTGCGCCATTGAGTTGCTGAAGCGAAGAGGAACTTGTTAAGGTTGAATAAACAAAAAAGAGAAATGCTAATTCAGTCATGCTATAGATTTTAGGCATGAGGGTAATATAGAGAATAATACAGCAGTTTGACAGTAGTCTGAAAAGTGAATGTTGCACACTGCTGCTGAATCATTCCATCCTTCATTATACCTATATGTACTTTGATTCTCTAATTGCATAAGTTCTTGAAAGTCAGTGTTGTTATGGGACAGTAGACTCATGGCAACTTTGATAACTTGAAGTGGTTTGTCATAAATCAGTGGCTACTTCACTTGGCGACTGAACTTCATAGAAAGCTAATAGACTAACTTCTGTGGAATTTATGAGTGGGCAGACTGGAGCATGCGGACAAAATGTATTTTTACCCTAAATGACCAAAAAGCTCTCGAAAAAACTTCCTGGTTGATATCGGCTTAGATCAGATGTTGCATCCCCTGGCTGTTTACATCAAATGCGCGTCAACCATCTTGTTATAATTTACCATAATAGGAGACTAGGAGATGTATCACAACGTAGAATTTTTAGTACTTTGCTAAAAATCAAAAGTCATTTCTAAATAGGTTTTTTGTCACAGATGATCAAGTACGACTTGCAAGAGGGTTAAAAAACAATGTTTTTTGTGGGACGGCTCAACTGAAACTGTAACAGTATAATGACGCCCGTGGCTTGACAGCCCCATTACATTTCGCATTTTTGGATTAAAGTCACGTTTTGAGCGTATATTTGCAGTTTAACGTTTAAAGTACAGCGCTGTCAGCTTGTGATGTTTTGATGCTGTTCAGACGAAATGAGGGTGGGAAAGTTTGAGACAGATCGCTTTTCCCTCTTTAGATCATTTGAAACGAATATTAGCTAACGGTCGGATAAAAACTTTTAAAAAACTAGAGCTGATAAAGACGAAATTTAAACTAATCGCCCTGTTCCATAACTGTTTATAGAAACTCTGAAAATTGCCAACTAAATATTGGTTTTCTTCCGACCGAAATAATCTTGTCTGTTACGTAACAAACAAAGTAGAACTTATGTTCTTCATAGAGCCAAAAACGGTTGCTGATACCCAGCAGGATTTCTTTGTTTTTCACATTCTCCACGACCAAGCTACACCCTGAACAACACTTCCACTATCTGTTGGTATCGTCCGGAAAAAAAGGTCGGAGCATACCAAAATACTCTTACTTGATGGTGCATGTTTTCGTGGAAAACTATAGCAGATGTACAATTTGTTGCAGAGCCCTTCAATTCAAATATTTAAGTCCACTGATGTCGGACAATAAAGATATTAAAGTTTTCTTGACGTTCGGGGTATGAATTTCTTCCCATAGAACTGGTGTATCTCTGCGAATACCCAGAAGATGAAAAATTTGTGTTAGTGTTTCGTTACTTAGAAGTTTCACCGCGAAACTTTATCCCCATATAAGTATGGGGTCCTAATTCTTCTCATTTTTCCCCTTTTTAAAGAGCATCTCGTTGAAAACAATTTCACTGCGTCAAATAGGGCTGAACAAGAAAGAAAGATCTTGGTGTCTAATATTTGCACAAAGACTGGAAAGAAGGAAGAAACTGAAAAAGAAAGAAAAGTTGGACAACAAGCACATTAACTTGTCAGTGTCTGGTAGTGCTTTCGTTCTGCCGCTTAGTATAATGAAAGACGTAAAGACATTTCACAGAGTTTTCAAGTGTTAACTTTGTAAAATAAGGATAAAAGATGAGTTGCAGGTGCAAAGAACATAATTGAAACTTTACTTTGAACTTGGAACTGATTAAAACGAAACCTGTAGTTCAAAACATCGGCGGATGTTGAGATATGATCGCAGAACGTCGTAGTGGAGTGTCCTCTTTGTTGGGTGACTAATGTCTCCCAAATCGGCGTCGTCATAAGTGTTTTCCTCTCTAGTCTACTCTCATGAAAACTTACGAACTTTTCAATTCAAACAATTTGAAACTTTGTGAAAGACAGAAAGAGATCTTTAAATATATTACAAAATGAGCGTTTTGTACAGGGCAAAATCTGAAATCTATGACAGATGAAATAACTGTTATTTATCCAAACCTTAACTAATCCCTAGTTCCTGTCTTGACGGGTTAGTATAACTGATGGAAATCAATATTAAGTTTAAAGAGGCAGATGACATACCTCAGATACTATTATTTTCACCAAAAGTGTTCGATAATTTTCCATAAAAGTCAAACGACTTAGATGTAAGAGCGAAGGGAAGTTCTTACCTCTCAAGGTTAAAGACATCTTCCAGGGAACTTGCTTACTTGTAAATACTAATACAGGAACTGAATGAAATGTAGAGCCATCAACGCAATGGCTGGGAAAAATACATCGTTCATTTCTTACTTGCTTAATTTCATAATTGTCAGAGAAGATTGCTCAACAGTTGCAACACCCAACTTAAATATTTATCAAAAATGTGAACGACCCACGCTTAAACCTGCAGGGCAAGAAAGCATTTTTTTTGTCAGAAGTCACAAGTCGTAACTGTTAACTTTGGGTAGATTGGAAGTCATCTCCATTAATTCAATGCTTTGTTTGGTAATTTAAAAACAGTTGGGTCAGCTTCCACATTCCGGTTTTAGCTAACTTCAGCACGACTTACGGGGGTTTGACTTTGACGGAACAGATTCACATCTGCTCGGTGTCACCTAGATACATACGACATAGGTGTAAATTGTAACTTAACTAAAGGAATCAAAGGGAGACGTACATTGTTTTGTTAGCCTTTCTGAACTAAAGAGATCAAAGAAAGTCGAGTTTTATTGGGTACGAATTCAGTTAGCTTCGTAATGGATTCGAGTACTTTACCCGACTACAAGTCGCCAGTGACCCTTCAAAGTAAATTTACTAGATGAGCGTGAACAGGAAAACAGCTAAAGTTAGATGAAAGTGGATAATTTGCGGGAATCGTCGCTTATATGGCTATTTATAAAGCTCTTGTCGAAAGTGCGTGATCTCGTTATGGTACTAAAACCAGTTTTAAGTATGGTCATCAATATGATGAAGACGAGAAGGAAACAGGACTTAATTATACGCTAATCATTCCAACAATATTTGACACCAACTGAAAAAAGATTTTATTCCCTTACACTTAACACTTCCTTGAAAATCGTTAGATAGCTTTGGTGCTTGATGTTGGGTCGTGAAAATGTTCGAATTCCTGTCTCAAAAAATTGGCTTCGACAATGATCGCAAATTCTCGGTCGTCTTCAGTATCGTTTGGCCGACGCTGCACTCATCAGGGTTGAATAAGACTCAACGGGGAAAACGTTAGGGTCAGTTCAACGATTTTTTTTACAATCAGGGAAAATTATATTCAGAACCGGAGGTTGCTTAGCACGTGCAAGAAAAAGGTGCTTCGAGTCCGCTACATGTACACATATAAAGACCAAACATGAAACCCAACTTTTCGAAATGGAAGTCATGAAATAAATCACTGAACTACATCACGATAGCAAATGAAGCCCCAATATTTATGCTTTTATTCGCCATCCAGCAACCAAAGAGGGCTTGTTTGTTTTCATACACTTCGCCCTCTAAGAGCCATTTGACAACATTTATTACCTTGTTATGTTAGTTGTGTACCAGATGAAGCAAAACTGTTGAAATAGTAAGTGCATTTGGCGAAGCACGACCACCAGTCTCAGTGTTTTGTTTTGACTATTATTACCTTTTGTTGGCCTCTTAAAGTACATGCAATTTTTTTTTTTTCAAGCGTACCTTACTTTCTGCAGAAGATATAAGATAGGAGGCAAGCGAGCTTGGGTTTGAAAACGTCATTTTAATAATACCAGAAAGCAATGTGGACGCCTCACAGCGAGTGTACTTCGTTGCTGTTTGCCACGTACAACATTCAAGTTGTTTGGGTAGCATACCGTTCCATTACGTTCCGCCAATTCTGACGTTAAAAAAAAAAAAAGAAAAAAATCCCAGACGTACCTCTTACGTTCCAGAAACTTGTCTGCGCTGGGGCTTCCCCGGTTTGTGAAGGCAAGAGCCACTCGCTTTGGTTGAACCCGGCAGATAAATCGTCGCCACACTGCGCCCTAATAAACTCATCTATGTCATTTAGCTGTTGCTCTAACTCGGGATCTAGAGCGAAAAGACTCATATTCTTCAACACCAGTCAGTCGAAAGGAGCGTAACGACTCTGCAAGTGTTGTCTTATGACCTGGGAGGAAGTCGTTCCTTAAATCTTTCTGAAGAGTGAACCAACAGCTTTTGACAGTGAGTGGGAGTTGTTTCCGGCTAGGATGTCTAATAAACGGAAAAATTGTGACGTATGTTCTTTGTTCCCAGGGTCGAGCGTGGTATCCGGGTAATTGTTATTCTAGCCAGGGCTGTTTTAATGCAGTGACTAATAATATTTGAAACTCAGTCTCGAAGCTATGGTGTATTATAGTTTTATACTAATGCATTGAAAATTGCAGATAGTACAGTTTGCCGCCAGCGTTCGTGACATAAGTGGCAACAGTTTTTACAATTATGTCTAACTGTTTTTTTTTTCCGTGACGTGGCTGTCTCGCTTAGTTCTACAGCTTTAATGAAAATGATTGACTTAAAATTGTGTCTGAATGATATATCGTACTGTCTTTATCAATTCACAAATTAAACAATTCTCCAAACATTTTCTAATTCTTTTCCTTTTCCCCATGTAGACGCCTTGATTTTCTTGACCTTTTGAACTACTACCTTGTAATACATTTAAGCGCAATATTTACGCTTTCGACCCCTCTTTCCTCAAAAGTACGTTCCATAAAATTATGTTATGAATTTATAATCGTCGCGCCTTGCCGCATGACATTAGTCACCGTTCCTGGAGTGTAGCGCTCTTGTTAAAATCCTGCCAATCTGATTTCGGGATCTCAGAGCTGAAATACATTTCGTAGTTCGAATTTAATCAATGAATCCGATCAAGGAAACAGATTAAATGAGGGGGTATCCAACATTTACGCACCCGACCTTGCTACCCTGTTATGAAGATTTGAAAGACAAAAACATTTGCTTAGTACCCTCATGGTATTGTGTTTAACTTCATTTGTTGAAACAAAAACAAAGAAGGTTATATGGAATGTGTAAATGTTTTGCTTCAGAGTTAGCGTTGTACGCGAAACTCAGTTTTGATGAAGTACTCTACTTAGATTGCTCTGTCTCTCAGTCACGTCGCGTTACGTTATTGACGTCTTCACATCAAACCTTGCACAACTTTGGCTCGCAATGACGTAAATGCGTCACACCTTCCACGCATGCAGCATATTGCGAAATCCAAAATGGCGGCTTTATGTCACGTCTCCGTATGAAGTCACGTCATGTCGGGTTTGCAGTCAAAACAGGCTCAGCTGGCCATAGTTTCTCCTCATTCAGGAGCCAATAAGTTTTATTCATTGTCATTTTTAAACACCTGAGAAAGGTTGGTGGATCAAACGCTTGTCTGTTCTCTAAAAGGTTGTAGTTATGCTGCTTATCGATTATCGCGGTTGTTATCGATTTACGTGTGGAGCTTGCGGGAAATAAAAGCTATAAATAGTGATTGTATATTACTCATATATCATTCCAGCCTCTCTTTGTATCTTTACTTGCTATAACAAGTTTATTAGTTTATTTTCATTTTTGAAGTGAAGGCCACTGAGCTACAATGCTAGGTGGAGAAACGCCTTTCATCGTTTATTTAAGAGTGCTAGGTTTAAAAACACGATAATTAAACAAAGTATGGAAATTTGCTTTATGTGGAGTGTGCCAGCCCCTTAGTCTTCAAATTGAATAAGCAAAGTAATCAATAAGTTTGACATGTCATAACGGATTAGTTATGTACCACGTTGTTAATCTTACCCCAGCTCTTTGTTTAACCTTCTAAATCTTTAATCCTACTTTGAATCCAAATGAACGTATTTTAACTGCTTATTCTATATCTTCGCTCTTTATGCTCTTTTATTTAGTCAGAGGACAAAAGAGGGAAGTAGATAGCACGAAACGTCGAAAGCAATGATCACCGTTAGGATTTGTGACTTAACGGCTGTCAACGCTCTAAACAAAGTTTGAAGATTCTATCCCGATAATATGATACCGTAAAACTAACAACAGTCAATGATTAAGTCAGTTTTCGCATCTTTTATAACATTCGCCTTTAGATATTTCCTGCCATACGGATCAGCAGGGTTTCTCACCAAAGATGGAAGTGAAATATATATGTTGGCTTATTTCCGGCGTTGCAGTGACAACCTCCTTTTCAGCACAGCACGTTCCTTTCCTGATGGTTAATTTAGCTAAGAACATTTTGAGTGGCCGTATATAGTAAACGGAAAAATAAATAATGGCACGCAAGGGAAGTGTTTGCTGCAAGTCTGTCTTTGCTGTCATTGCGGAATTACTCCTCCATGCATGTTGGCAATGATTGATAGCCTTTCGTACTTGTAGGAGATCTTAAAAATATTGGGATTCAACTTCCAATTTCTCATAATCGACTTGTGCTCCTTCAGGTGACACTCCATACTACGCTTTTATGACTTGTAGAGCTTCTCTAGTTTCGTGCTTTGCTTACTTGATCAAGGCGGAATTCTTGGTAATCCATCCATACCTTTTTGTGACTCACACGGTCAGCCTTTGAATTTTCTTTGCTTTACAATTGCCCTTTAGGTTGTTATGTAGTTGTTTTTACGAGAATGGGTTTTCATTTTCCAACATCCTCGTTTCATGATTTCCAAACTTGGCGGGCAACCATAACTACCCTGCATCTCTCAGTTAATCTGTCTTTCTTGAAACTGTTGATTAAATTTTTAGTCACTACATTTATTGCAATCACACGGATACTCGAGAAAATTCCTTACACTCAACCCTATCGATAGACGTAACACGGTATTGTCTAGAATGTTCTAACTGTAAAGTGGTGTTACGGTTGACATGATAACACATTAAGAACTTAAAAATCCTAACCGTAGGTTTTTAAGCACAAATAAAGCTATATAAAATCAAAGGTCTGGAATTTATATTCTTCGTCCGAGACTCAGATTTTTTTACTGTTTCAACGCGTTACAAACCGAATGACAACTTTTTCCAACAGAACTTGATTTATGTTATTGATTAAAATAGTTTTGAATTAGAGTCACGCACATTTTCCAAAATCAAGACACCCTTTCACCAAATTAAGGTACGATGAAGATAGCAAAAGTCCGATGAACTGGGGTCAATTTTTTTAGTTGTCCCACGCTCGCGACAAAATCGATGACAACTTTATCACTGAACTCAAGTTGAATATTAATTCTACACATTAGTCAGGCACATTTCCCAAAACCAGGGGACACTTTTATCCAGCTAAAATTAGATAACTGTAGTAAATCAGCCTTCTTTTATTAAATGTGCCACAATAAAAGGTGGATCCACACAACCATTTCTTACTGCTGAGTTATTTCATTGGCCCCGTTGTTGCTTTAAGGGCTTCCCGCAGCTCACTTTACTACAACGTTTTCCTTATTGAAATGTACCTGCCTTGACACACCATGTCACTTTATTATTTGGTTAATTATCTATGTTATGCCCCAACTCAGGCAGCTAAACACACCTGTCTTTGGCCTTTAACCAGGGTTTTACTGATGTTACGCGTTGTTTAAAAATTTTAGGGTTTTGTAAGCAAATCGTAGAGAAATATATGCCATATCTGCTATCTTTAACCAATCCCTCATAAGTTCGAGCACGCTTATTTCCCCTGAGGAAAAAATCATTTTTGATAAATAGTTTCTACCATTCGTTTTGCCATTTGAGACGAAGAGGTTATGCTCTCATTAGAAAGTCAAAATTACAGTTATATATTGACTCTAGTTATTTTAAATTTTGCTGGTAAACATCCGTTCCAATGACGCAAAAAAATTCGGAAATATATCATTGAAATTGTCAAAGGTTATATTTATGTCACGAAACTACGAATTAGTTATATGCGATACAAATAGCTTTCTAACTAGCTTTATCAGTTTAACCTTTTTTTTCTCACATACAGGTAACGCTATCACTCTAAAAATGTTTGATTCATTTCTTGTGTTCTTGTTACATCTAATGGATATCTCAAGTTTCTCAGAATAGTTTTGAAAATGGCCACTGCTATTAGTATATTGGTTAAAAACACCAGTTTCAAATTTTTCACCAAACCGGTGATTTTTGGATGATTTCTCTTCTTTTCACTCTCTGTCAGTTTCCCCTTTTTTTTCGTGACATGCAATTCTGTTGCGTAGAAAAGGCGATCGAAACATAATTGTATGTGACTTTGAGAGAAAGTGTCTCGGGATGCCATTGTTTCTGCGCCTGACGACCATTCACGCGTGGAGTTTGTCGTTCCGCCGGCTGAAGCTCGCCATTTTTTCACCACATCACGCAATACGAATTTATAGAAAAACTTTTGAAGAAGCATCAAAGAAAAGAAACGGCGAGTTTCTTTAAATAACAGTAGCAGCGAACACAAGGACTAAAAACGTACTCCGCTGAGTAACTGTAGAAATTGCATTTCGCCTGTGCGGATCATTTTGTTCTTACAGATCAGAATACATTTCAAGATGAACGGGTCACATTATTATCAGCCAGCCCAGTAGATATCATTTGAACTTTTCGCCGCGAGAGACTGCTCGGGTAGCGTTTTGATCTATTTTACACCACACACAGCAGTCGAGACTTGGTAATTCCATTTTCAAGAGTGTGCTCTTAAATCTATAATTATAAAAATTCTTGCGAGATACGGAACTCAGTGAGATTGGGAAGCACTGAAATACTTTTTGAATGGATTGACACTATTATGGAATCTATGAAAAAAAAATAGACACTACAATCTATTGTGCATTTACCACACTGACACGAAGATGAAGGAGAGGTTGCTCTCAAGTTTAATCTGACTGGTTACCCTATTCACACGCAGGCTCAACGAGTAGGTCAAAATGAATGTTAAGTCATGATCGAATGTCAATGATTTCACTCTTTGATGTTTCAGAGGGGCCAACTTTGAAAATTAAATCTTGAAAATACCTCAAGATTCCCATTGTAAGAGTTTTATCACGGGAGTTTAGATTTCAATGAGTAATAAATTTTTCATGGTGGTTACCTCCGAACTGTCATCGCCAGAGGAGCCGGATAAATTATTTATCAATAGCGGGTGGTATATTCAGATCTATTACGAGGCGCTAGTTGTAGAACAAGACTTCGAATTCCGAAAAGAACTCACTAGAGGAAAATATGAGAACATGGCTGAGGTGATTGATGTCCGCCACATGTGCTTTTGCTTTGGGACTCGTGTGGTTGGAACCCCTGTGAATTTTCTTATTTACAACAATAGAATACTTGGGTAGCGTGACAATGCATGTAAAATACAATAGCGGTAACGATATTTCTTAGTTCAAGTATTTGCCACTATCGTAATCATCATCGAGACTAC